CTTCTGCCTTCCAAACAAGTGCTGAATTGGAAGTTGTTCATGTTTTTTTCTCAGATGTTTTTCCATCAGTAATTCTTAACTCCATGATTCTGAAGACACTGGATAGCTTCTATTTGCACGACAGCTGACATACTGAACACCTCTAATACCAATTCAAATACAAATTTGAAAAAGTTAATCTCAAATGTTCAAGTAGAACTATGAGTACAGCATAACTACAATGTAGTATCAAACTCCACCTGTTCTATAATAATTATCAGTAACGTTTCATTTTTTCACCTTGTTTTTCCTGTAAAGAAATAGTTATGTATTCAGTGGAGGATGTTTTAACAAGGGAAGCTTCTGAACCGTGATGAAAACTTTAAGAAAACTACCAAGCCATTAACAAAGTGAAGTTTTGTGTATTCATACATGAAAAAAAAAAAAACCTTTAGATTCATCTTCTCTTCTAAAATACACATACACAAGCTCTAAAATCACTTCCATGATAAAATGACATTTATAATGACTTTAAGAGGTAAAATATTAGAATCCTCAGACAAATTAAAAACTTTCTTCTCTCCTCTTCCTTCAAATATAGGCTTATAGCCTGTAGCAGCTGGGAAGAACTGGTGTATATTATTGCCAGTCATTGAAGATAGGTCATTTCTAGGGGAACAATAAGCCATACGCTGAAATCTCAGGATGACAATGCTATTGCGGTTTCAAGAAAGAATTTTCAAAATATGCAAGCTGAACTACTCTGTAGTAATAAAGTCACCATATTACCCTGGAAAAATAGCTTTATGGAAATGCAATCATGTAAGTACTGTATGAAAGAACATTGCTTTATAATTTGGCCAATGATAATTGTCTTTAATTGGTTTTCTCCTTGCTGTGCGTAACATCTGCAATATATGGACATGATTTGACATAAGCAAAAAATGACAAGGATAAAATTTTTAAAGTATGATAAAGCCCACATTATAATTCTGCAGACAAACACTGAATGTAATCAAACAGAACTTACATTTGACCATTCAAAATGCTTTTAATAAAAAAGAAACTATTCCAGTCATGCCTGTACCTTATCAGCATTTAAAGCTACGTAATCAACATTGCTAGGTCTCTGCTGTCAAAAATAAAAAAGAACAAATTCCTCCTTTACCTGCGTTTTAGAGTCACGATGAGGATGTATTTCATTGCATACATCTGTGTGCTGAGCATCGAAAAAGTCAGTGAGAGAAAAAGCAATATAAAAAGAATCAGAGCACAAGTAAGCCCCACAGCAAACCTGTGTGGGAAATGGTGGGTGAGGACCTGCTGGCAGGCTCCCTGTAGGAGGCTCCTGAAGTGCCCCAAATTCTTCTCCAAAGGAGAAGGCAGCATGCACAAAAACACTGTAAAAGCAGCACCAAAACCTCCTCCAAGTTTCCTGCAAAGCAAGCAGCAGCAATACATGAAGAATCCTACTCCTCAGCAGTGCTTCAAAGCCATTCTGGTAACTGCGCCTTCACCCCCCAGAGAAACAGCTTTGTCCTCACAGGGTATAAAGCAGACAATAACAATACAATTAAAAAAAAAAAAAAAAGTACGTGAGGAATGTAGCCAAGCTAAAGGATTTTTTGTTCTAGTAGAGATAGAAGGAGAGAAAGAGGCAGTGGATGAACAAGAGACAGAAAGGAAAAGAGGTGGCAGATAGCGTTTGCCAGCGCTGTTTTCTTGAATATATTTTATATAGAAAATACTGTTGAAAGACCTGGAAAATTCAAAATATCACAATTTCTGCTACTCTTTGTCAGTCTCTCATCTCCCAACAGCAAGACTGCTCTTCAAAAGCTGAAAACAAACATTCACAGAAGAGTATGGTTACTAAGAAAGAGGAAAAAATCTCCCTGCTTCAGCGCTCTTCAACTCAAGTGACAGGTGAAGTCAGGAGAGTAATTCTCTATCAAACATTCTTTAAACATTCCTAGACTTTTCCCACACGAGTTCCTAAACCTGCAGAGATAAATCTGCAGTGTAAATAAATTCTGTTTGCTCATCTAAGAAAAAAAAACAAACCACCATACTGTTAAAGCACTTGCCAATAGACAGGAAAGCATCATATTTGCTGCCTTCAGCATTCTGCCTCAGCAATATACAGATGAAGCAACATACCACTCAGCCTCCACTCCACCACTGAACAAAAATGTAAACTCAAAAGGCTCTTGTTAAGCACACATCAATACTTAAGGGAATCAGTTCCCAATTAACACACAGAAGCTTTAAGGAAAGACAAGAGAGCAAAAAGAAGTGTCTGTACAGAGATACTCATTCTCAGATATTCTCTACATGTTTAAAAGATCACTTATCTAGGGGTAAAAAAAACAAGGAAGAAGTATAGCATTTTAGACTACAAACATGGCAGTAGCATCCATTGTACCTGAATGCTAGAACTCTGTACTTACATCTTAGGAAAACATGACAGATGTTTACAAAATTGCCAGGTCATTTTCCCGACCTGCACAAACAGAAGATGGGCTCACAGTTATCTTTATGCCTTCCAGGCTGGATATTAGGAAAAATTTCTTCTTAGAAAGTGACGTAAGGCATTGAAACAGGTTGTCCAGAGAAGTGGACATCTCCGGAGGTGTTTAAGAAAAGTTTATATGTGGCACCTAGGAATGCAGCTTAGTGGCCTTGGTGGTGATGGGTTGACGGTTGGACTAGGTCATCTTAGTGGTCTTTTCTAACCACAATGATTTTGATTCCAGATGCTGTGCCTCAAGACAGAAATATGTCTTACCCTCAATTTTATGAGACCACCATCAGCCCACAGATCTCTGCTGGGACACACAATTAATCAGTTCAATTAAGAAAATTAACTGCCATCATTTCTTCTCTGCTCCCATCTTCTCTTTCACACCTATACTTTCTTGACAGAAGGTCTTCTCCTGAGAATTCTGCAGTAGTCTTGGAGTTCTTTAAGAACTCATACACTAATTAAAAGCGCATTAACAACTTAACAGATTGTCACTTACAATTTACCTTAACAGACAGACCCTGGTTCAACTTTTAGGATAGCTCGTTGCACATGCAAGAATTTTAGCAGCCTCAGTCTGCAGCAGGTGGAGACTGCAACAACCATCCACTGCACTACTCAGCACCATTTCACAAGCCTTGCTGTTTTCACTAACTTAAGAGTTCCAAGAGCCTTCCAGCCATTTAAAGAAAACTAAAAAGTGGCCCTGAACTTGGGCGAATTGCAACTTTGAAAACACCAAAGTTAGTTTTCTGAAATGACTATTTTATTATTTTATTCTTTGTCTTGTTTCAAGATTGTTTGAAGGCATTTAAATAAAGCATAGAAAAACAGACAATTTCATGTTATACAGCAGGGAAGAAAAAGAAAAAACAGGAAAAAAAAAAGAGTCTTTCTAAAGAGATAACAAAAATTTAAGAATGGAAAGTTGTAATTGCACATTCACATACAACTAGTTCTATCAGCTAGACTTGGTATGTGTGCAGTCCACTGAATTTACTGCACAGATAATAAACCTGTGGGGTTAGGGCAGCAGGTGAAATGATAGTTTTTTATTTTTTTTTAAATACACATATGAAATTAACTATGGAATATTGGTAGTGGCTCACGGTGGTTGAATTTATAAAAATAAGTATTTTTAACAACAAAAACAATGTCAATAAGTGAAAATTGATCTGTCTTTTCAGCAAAGACATGCTAGTGCTTCAGGAACATCTTGTTTTTGGACTGTACATACCCACAGTTATTATCACAGAATTAACTGTGTTTTTTTGGATGTCAGTTTCCAAACTACAGAGCCTCAAAGAATTTCTCAGAAGAGCTTCTCACCAAGACTTTTCTAATCACTCCAAATTTAATAAGTCATTACATATAAAAAAAAAAAACGCAAAATTTAAAAAAAAAACAACACACACTCAAGTATGGCACTGTAGACAGAACTCTTAACATATTTGTTAGTGTAAAATAGTATCAAAATAATCTACAGGAAACAGTAAAGTGCCATGCAGCTGTAGTAGCCTCAGGAGCACAAAGGCTCCTTTCATCAGATACACTCTAACAAGAGACAAAATACAGCTTCATTATTCAATAAGGTCAACATGCAGAGCATCCCTCCTTCTGTTTCACCATTTTTCCACACTAGCCACATGTGCTAAGTGTGTCTTCATAAGGTATGTTTTAGGAGTTTGAATGTTGCATAGAACATTGTTACAGAACACAGCACTTCAGACGGAGAGTGACAAGAATATACAATACGCAAAGAGAAACAGGTTTCTTTTTCCACCTGCCTCACACTGTTGAAAGTGTCTAAACTGATCCAAAGCCTGCAAGAAGCATTTCTGGGCTAGACTTAAAGAAGAAGGAATAGCTCTGTGGGAATTGGCTGTACATGAAAAGCAGGTCAGCAAGTTATAGGGTTATAATAGTAACAGATAATCATCAGCTTATGGTTGGATTTGATGATTCTAGAGGTCTTTTCCAATCTTACTGATTCTACAATACATAATTATGCCAATAAAAGTAAGATGTCCCCTCTGAAGGAAGGCAGAAAAGTGATGCTTAAATTCTTGAGCAATTGGAAAGGAGGTAGGACATCTTGTTTCTATTTAATCTCTTACTCTTATATAAAAAAAAATAAATATTCATCTTCTGAAGCCAGTATTCCACAGGAAAGAATGAAAGAACAAAACACATTACTTCCTTTTCAAAGACAGTGACAGAAAGCAACACATTAACTTACTACCCAGTATCATCATTTCCCCCTAGTGCACACAGTAACTTACAAGCACGTATGTAAAAAAAAAGTATGCACACTCTATGTATGATGGGACATAACAAAGCCCAGAAATGTAATTGGGTGTGTCTTCCTCTGTTCTCCAAAGCTTTGAATCAGACCTTTAATTAAGGCTACTTGACTTCAATATTCAATATGCAGAAGGACATACACAGTTTTGCACCTTCAACTTTTCTCTTGCGTCTGGGAGGCTGATTTTCCTACCTGATCTCTCAGCTGTTGAACGGAAGTTTGAAGGTTGAGAATTTGATTAAAAAGCGGACTCTGCAGCACTGATTTTAATAAGTTCAGTTTTTCCTCATTTGCGATGTCACCTCGATCCCGAAGCTTTGCCTGTAAGCGCTCCACAGCCTGGAGGGCCCGATGTGTATCTGTAGCAACATTCACTCAAATCAGTGGCAGTTTAGAAACAGTCATACTGAAAGCACATAAATTTTATTTAAATAGCTCTTTTCAAAATACAGAGGTCTAGAAGGGTTTTTGTTCAGAACTGAACCAAACAGGTCTTAACGAATAATGAAGTCAGAGGAAGAGCACAAAGCAGAAGGCAAATAATATGATGGTTGTTCATTTTGTTGGCTTTTTTTTTTTTCTCCATTAAAAACTGGATTGCAAAAAAGTGGAAATTTTCCATTAAAATTCAGTACAGGAATTGTGGCTAGAGGCAACTGCAAATAAAAATCAAACAAAAATATTCCTAAAAGGATGTCTTTTCCACACAGACCTTTTAAAAAGACAAGAAAAAAAAGACAACTGGGAAAAAAATGATAGTACATCTTTGTGTTTCCTAATTCTAAAAGCAAGCAAACAAAAAATTGTCAAGTATTTGTCATAAAAACCATCTCATTTGTATACACCAATAACCTATAACTATTATGCACAATACATTTGACAAATACAGTGATACAAATTATAATTAAGCAAAAAAAAAAAAAAAATTACCAATTGTTTCCAACATGCTCACTGCTTCTGCTTCTTAGTTCCTATTCCAACACAGAAAAAGACAGCACATACAAATATTGTCCTGGTTTTTCCTGAAAAAAGAAACACAGGGAAACTGTCAGATGTAGAATACAAAGTAGTGAGCTCAGAACGAAAAAAATTAACATCTGAAATAAATTGCCAAGCCCCCAAAACAACAGCCTACTAAAACTACATCTCCTTTAGATAATTTATTTCTGCATTTCCATATCAAAGATCCTGTCTGTATACTGTTGCACAACATGCCCCACATTGCTTTAATCAGAAGGTATGAATCATAGCTATCACTGAGACTTCACAGTATTTCATTGCTTTCCTTTTCAGTGATTCATAAAAACATTCCCTGTAGGTTCAGTTTTCAAGCCCTGTGTTGACAATATCTGGTGCATGAACCTAAGAAGAAATTAATGAGTCACAAAGCATTACTGCTATCAGACTTGCAGAACTATCACACTACAACCTCCAGAACTCATGCTACAACCTCCACTACTTACATACAACAATATTAAGAGTCAGATATGGTTGATGAATGATTTTTACCAACACAAATTTACAGGCAGGAAACTCTACTTTACAAAAAAATCTGAAACTGATTAGTATTTTGTGAGTTCTGGGAATTTGAGTGGTTTTCTTTTGCTTGTTCAGTGCTTTTGTTGTTGTTCGGTTGGTTTGGGTTTTTTGGTTTGGTTTTTTTTTTTTGCCTTTTAGAAACTAAAAAAAAAAAAAAAAAAAAAAAAAAGTATTTCTAATGTTGATCAGAAATTTGTGATTTTGTATGAGTGGGAGAGTCTGCCCATCCACAACTGTGATGGAGACTGTGATGGAGGTAAATGAAGTGAGAAATCCAAATATCATTGTAGGAGCACAAACTGACCTGTACTTTTTATTTATTTATTCTTCTTAGCAGTATTTTTGTTTTCTTGGTAACAGGAAAACAGGAAAGCAGTTTAAGATAATATGCCAACTTCAATCTGGTAGGAAAGCACCATACAGGAAACAGCACTCAGAAAGAGCTAAGCACCCAGAAAAAGTGACTTTCTTCTTTGAAGAGGATAATAAAGAAAGGATCGTGTTGACAGATCTCTGGGTATGAGAGAGTAACTAAAATTCAAAAGGGCCATTAGCCATAGAAGTTGAGCAGGATAAACATGAATCAATCCCCACAATAAAAGTGAGAAAAAAAGTTGTCAAAATAAATTTGCTTAGAAGAACCACTATTGACAACCATGTATTATTTGCAGTCTGAAAAGAAAAAACAAATTAAGTGGTTTTTAAATGGCTTCAAGTTCTATTGCTAGACTTCCCTAGTTTCAGTATGCCTTAAGCTTCATATCAGTTAATCTTACGGCATATGAATTAACCAACACATTGCTACAGAAACACTTATCATCACTTTTAGGATAATATGTCACTTAGAAGTAGGCATGAAATTCAAATCTTTTTAATGTGGTAAGCTAACCTTTTTCATGATACAAGTTATATAAACATGCACATCAATAATTAATAAAACAATACTTTGTAAATTTGTTTTCTCACTTAACAAGGCAAATCTCAGCACACAACTACCAAACAAAACCAAAGAATATCTTGCATTTTCACCTGTTCACCCTTCAAAATAAGACTGTCTATTTAACAGAAAGGGTTGGATGAAGTCATTAAAAAATTAATGAAATAAGCTGGTTTTCCCCTAACCTTAAATACCAATAGCTTTTACTTTCAGATGAAAAAACTACCATCACACAGTCAGTTCAGAGGCCCTATTTACAAGTACAGACATTTACAAGTAGTGTTCATAGGTCTTTTTCTCAGTGGCAGTGCCGATTAAAGAAGTTCTTTCCTGTTTCACGCTTTTACTCCTATCTGTACAAATGTTTATGCAGCTGTGTTTTAGATCCAATCAGAAAACTGTATGAAACAAATATGGAGACTACTACTCAGGCATTTCAGTCCCATCGCCCTGCACATGTACACGCACACAGCCATCATATCTTCAACTCTCAAATGTTGAGAATCTAACCAGGAAAAACAGAAAGTTACTTGTACTCCAGGCCTTCTGCTTCAGATCTCTAAGGATCTCAAGAAGAGGAGATATCTTTTAGAGTTGGTGGATATTACATTACATTATGATTCAACTTGCCTGTTTATAATGTGCTGTGAAAGGCATGTTTACAAGCAGTAAAATGGACACATCACCACTGTGTTGGTGCAACCCTAGAATAATCATCACTGATGATTTGAAATTGAAGCTTTCTCAACACAGAGACTTATTAACAGAAGTCACTAAGTATAATTCCAGATATAGAAATGATCCTACTTAATCTGCAATGAAAAAATTGCTGAGCACTGCTAAGACTCTCAAGGTACACTTTTCACTTACCTCATGCATCAGAGGTAGGAAAACTGTCCCAGAGCCATCTTAGTTCCAGCAAATCAGTTTTTAAGCTCTCATTTTATTTTACTTCTCCTTAACTTTCCTTATTTTGTTCTTGTACTGGAAGAGACTGACTCCTTAGCTGAGCCACCTAATGCTTTTGTCAACCGCAGCTCAAGGAAGGATCAAGACAGGAACTGCTGTCAGAATGTTTTCCTTCAGGATACTTCCACTGAAGCAGAAGCAGTGCCTCAAGGCACACCAGTATTCATATATCACAGTTCAAGATGACACCCTTTGCTCTGTGCACACTCTGGCATGGTGAAAAGCCACCCAAATCTGTTTCTGCTGTGCCACATCCATGCTAACAATTGGGATCTGTCAGCACCAGCTTAGTGGCACATCAGCCTAGCCAAAGCTGCATTTGCCCAAGATGAGTCCATAGTCACCACTCCCACCCACCACAGCGACAACTCCTGGTCTTTAACACACCACACTTCTAAGTATTTCAGTAATAATGCACTGAGCAAACATGGTCCAGGGAGAAATATGGAGATAACTCTTTATTGAAAGAAGTAAATCTTTCATTTGCTATAGTGAATATTATTATAATACCATCACAAATTCTAGAAGCATGAATGAATGACACGCAGTTTCTGATCATCTAATTTCCTATACTCCTGGCTGCCTGTATCGCAAGAGTCCAAAGCCAAAACCTGCCTTTTTATACATGACACAAACACCAGTCTTGATCCAAAGAGCTTACTAGCTCATCTCAAAGTAGATTTAACTATTTATGTGTACTGCTAAAGTTCACTAATCTCATCACAATAATAAAAACATTGACTGACTTAGACTTTTTTATTGGCTACTGGAAGAAGTACTGCTTAATGAACAGCAAATTAATTCAGTTTTTCCAAAGACACAGGTGTGACTTTTAAAAATAGGCAACTTATCTCTTTACTCTTGTTTTATAGTAAAAAAAGTAAAATATACACAAGTAATTTTAGCTAAATACACAACAGAAACTTAATCTTCTGCTAAGCTTGCACAAAAGCTAAAGATAATCCCCTTCATCATATAATCATTAATACATTTGCACTTCTAAAATTTGACTCTTCCTGTGCCAACAAACAAAAATGTGTTACATATGCATCTCTCCACTACTACAGTTGCTCTTCTCATAGAACAGCTGCCAGACAAATGCTGCAGCCCTGAATTCTTAGTACCTATTCCTAAACCACTCATATCAATAGGTTTAAGAATTTTAAAAATAGACATAAAATGTATGCTCAATGCCTCCTTCTCATGGCAATCATGCAAACCTTATTAAATGGAACACCCAGAAGACTCATGAAAAAGGAAAAGATGAATTCCTTCTAGTTATTGCTCTTTCACACCTGGTCATGTAATTCCTACAAGGAAACTTCCTCCTTTGCATTTACACATGCTCCATCCACAATTTCACAAATCCATTTCAGATAATACCTTGGAAACTCATGCTCACAGCACTGGATTAGCAAACATGTGATTCCAAAGATAGAAAACAGAGTAATAGGCTTTGCCTTGTAGCTCTTGCATTACTTTATATGCCCTCAAGATACACAGGAAATGCCCATCCTAAAAGCAATCTCCAGGTCCAAACTTTGGCAAGGAGTTGCGTGAGATTAAGACCAAATCTGACTCAGTATAGCAACATGGTAATCAAAGCTTATACTCTGTTGATGCTAAGAAGAGTATTTCAAAAATTCTAATTAAATTTCAGCACCCAGGTTTGAATATGGCTGGGAACAGGTATCCTTTCCTACTTTATCCTTTCTATTCCCCTTCTTTCTGGCTGTCACTCAAACAGGCATACTGTGTTAGCTCTACGTGGCAGAAGAATGAAAACCAAACCACATAGGAAATAGAAAACACTGATTACCAGGAGACCTTCTGTATTGCTTTCAATTTAACTGAGCTTTTCTGTTTCACCCAGCTATCTTTCTCACCCTGGCTAACATCCCTGTGAAGAAAATTACAATGATCCTCAGACTCCTGGAAAACATGTCTTGTCAATACAAAGACATCTGAAATCATTCAAGCTCAACTGAAAGATCTCATACTTCCTATTTTTCCACTGCTACAAAGGCAATTCTGCTGTTCATACAGCACTTTCAAAGACTCCCAGAAGTATTACACAGGCTCAACAACTGTAGTCTGACAAGTACAGCCTTCACTACTCAGTGACAGCGATAAACATACTTGAGCACAGAAGAGGGAAAAAAAGGGAAAAAGAAGAGGAAAAAGAAGCAAGCAGTGGAAAAGAATTAAGATAACAAAAAAAGGCTAGCCTACTGTTTCCGCAACAAGACACGGATAGGCAGAATTAGCATCAACCACCTGTTTCATCAGCAAAGGGACTGCACAGTTGTCTGTAACAGAAGAGAACTGACTCAATACCTGTAAAATCTGTCAGTGAGGGTGTCGTATAAACGAAATTAAGTTCCACAAAGAGCAAAGAAGACCTCCACTGACTGTCAGGAATGTAACAGGAAAGTGTGAAAAGTCTGAAATACACATTTAAAAGCTAAATTAAAGGAAAACCGTTCCAAAGCATTCAAACAGAAACAAAAAGTGAATTCACAAAACTGACAGAAAGGCTGTATGGAGTCTATAAGCAGTTTGGTTTGTAAGATGACAGTGCTAGCCTCCTGAAACTTAGAAAAACACTGAATGTATAAAAAAAGGGGTAAAAGGTGATAGCAGCAGCTCTGTATCTCAGAGAAAAGTATAGCAGTAGAGCTAAATAACTATGAAAACCAGGTTTTGAGGATTCAACAATTTTAATCTTCCGCACACATCACACTAAAGTTTTAAGGAAACTTGCAAAGCTTTCAGATAAATGTACAATCTCTTTGTTTCTCTTTAATTAATAATATTTTGTAATACAGTCAAGAGCTCTACATGAATGTTTTACGCTAGCTGTGCAAGTTACAACCATAACCCAGAACTGGGCCTAAATGACACCTACTACTTTCATTTGCAGATATACATATATGATGCAAAGTATTCACAAGTGACTGGTAAAGAGTTTTGCAAACATAACAAAACAAAAACAAACAAACAAAAAAACCAACACGGTAGAGAAAATTTTTGGCGTACTAAGGAAAATAACAAACAGATAGTCTGTTCAGAAAAAAGAAATCTTGCAGTAAATAAATTGAGATTAATTGAAATAATTTTCTTCAAACATTAGAAATACAGGATTAGCTTCAGAAATTGGAAAGCAGCTTTTCAGCATACACAAAATATATGTGACGCTATACATCCCAAGCCGTTCTAAATAGTCTAGACATGGTTCATATTGCCTACTCACTTTTCCAGTATAAACAATTGATTACCAAATTCATTACATTTAGATGGATTTAATTAAACACAGTTTCTACATCATAGCAGTTGCATCTCTTAACATCTATTGGATTCCTCACAGAGGTAAAAACAGGATACATAAATGGTAAAACAAAAAAGAAGAAGAAAAGAAGCCTCACTGTAAAGCCAATGAGGAGTCATCATTTTCCTTACAAACCAAAAATGCTGCAGAACCTCTATCATATACTGTGAAAATAAAGGAAGAATCACACAGGAAGTCATTACAGCACATAACCAGAATATGATACAAGGTGGCTTGGATACCAGAACTGAGTCTGAAAAGCCTGTTAAAGAAATACTCCACAACCATATAGGCCAATTATTCCACAAGCAACAACCAACCATACTCCAAACCAATTTCCATGTGGAAAGACAGCACTGAAAACAAAATGACATATTTATACACTGACTCGTTGAGAATGCCTATGGCAAAACAAACGTCCTTACCAATGATGACAGACTACATTATCAGCTTGGTATCGTATTTGCTAAAACTGCTTCAGTAGGATGTTTCAGTGGAAAGCCAATTAGAGAGTGTAATGCTTATCATCTTTAGAATGTAAAATTTTCTTGCATGAGATATGGACCATATAATTTCAAACACTTTTAATTTTGGTTTTCAATGCACTCATTGCTCCACAGAATTTACAAATACTGCCATACTGAAAATAAAGAACATCAATTAGTATGTAAGTAGTGCAGCTCTTTTTTTCCCCCGTGCTGAAATCGATCTATCTTTCCCAGTGCACTGTTACGTGAAGAGAATGTATCCAGTTCCCAAAGAAAAGCTTCTTGATAGCATAAAGGAAGCCAGCAGAAACTGGCTGTAACCAGTAAATGTTACACGTGTGCTCTGTTAGTGCAATTTGAAGATATGAATTACTTGTTACCCATTGTTGGGGTACAACATTGAAAACTACAATGTTATCTGTTGTTCTCTGCCATTAAAGCACTGTTAGTGAACACTTACATTAATATGCTCTGAGGCGTTTTTGTTCTGCATTCTTGTTTGCTTAATGCTATGTTACTTTTCACTTTTGTAGGGAAATGACATTTCCCAGACACGTTTTACTACTTTTCCCTGTATTTGTTTAGACCTTTTGCTCCCCAAAAGTTGTCATCTTGGAAAATGCCCTGCTGATATGGAAACCACAAAGCATTACACAACAGGCTGCCACAATAGCTGAAACCAGGCCCTTTTGCTTGGCCCAGCCACTGCTCTGCGGGGCAAGGAACTCCGCCTATCTCCTCCAGTACCATGGCTAGGAATAACGTTTTCTTTTCAGCAAGTTATGCTAACAAAGTCTCCTGCGTGTACTAAGAAGCAAAAGGGATGAGGTTCTGGTTTTAAAAGCTGAAAGAAAAGGGAAAAAAAAGAATGCAGCTCTGCTCAGCCAGGCTGCAAATCAATCTTATGAAATGCAGCACACAGAGCTCACAGGGTCAGCTCTGCGAGAGCTTTTCTTGCCTGTTATTCTTTCCAGTAACGCAGGAACGTACTGGAAGCGGAAGGGAAAACCACCCTAGACAGAAAGCATCCCATACATCAACCCTTTTTCTTCACACAGCCTCACCTATCAGAAGGCAAAGCTAAGGCCTCGCACCCACTCTGCTGAAAGGACCGTGCCCGAACGCACACTCGTGAACCAACAACAGCGGATCCGGCGCCGCAGGAAGCGCCTGGCACCCGCGGATAGCGGTATCCACACTGGAAGCGCAGGACCCCAAGAAGCCCATCAGCGCCTACCGAGCCCCTCGAACGCAACCACACAAGGGAAACACAGCGGCTGCGAGCGGCCGCGGGGAGGAGACATCCTCCAGGGAGGGGAACTGCCCGCCGGAAGGGGGCAAAGAAGAGCGAGAGAAGGAGGCGCTCAGGGACCTTCCCTCCCGCGGCCGCCGGTGACGCGCGGACGGCTGCCTCCGCCAGGCCCGCAGCCGCCCTGCCGCCCCGCAGGCCGAGCCGCGGCCCCGGGAGCGAGGAGCAACAGGCTCGGCCGCCCGCGGCCTCTCTCCTCCTCCAGACCGCCCCGCCCGCCGAGCCAGCAACACGACGACAGAACTTCGCAAATAAACACACTTAAAGAGCTGACTCGCAACTCCGCACGGCCGGCGCTCCGCTTTTCCGAGCTCCTCTCCCCGCAGCCCCTCCGTCCCTCTTACCGGCGGCTCCGCGGGCCCCGCTCTCCGCCTTCGCCCTCCCCGCCCCCGAGTAACGGCGCCGCGCCGCGGGGAAGCGCGCTCGGGCACGCCCCGCCGGCCTGAAATCTAATCCTGCCCGCCGCCCCCCCGGGCCGGCCCTGCGGCACCACCCGGCGCATCCCGGGGGGGGGGTGGGCTGAGCTGCTCTGCTCTGCTCTGCTCTGCTCTGCTTTGCTGGTCCGTCGCGCGGTCTGCCTTCGGTGAGAGCTGTTCCTCAGACAGAAACAACAGCGCAGTTAATGAGTCGGCGGTAGGACAAGAGGGAGCGGTTTTAAACTGAGGAAGGGGAGATTTAGGATTGATGTGTTTCTCTGTGACCAGAGAAGCTGTGGGTGCCCCGTCCCTGCAGGCGCTCGGGTCCGTGTTGGATGGGGCCCTGGGCAGCTGGGCTGCGGGGCGGGAGCCCTGCCCAAGGCGAAGGGGAGGCTAGCCGGGGTGGGGGGGTTGAGGTCCGTCTCTTCCAACCCATTCTGTGCCTGCTGGAGGTGAAGTGCTGTCCTGCAGTGAAAATGATCCGGGTACTTGCACGTTCACAAGCAGAGTACTTTTCATGCAAATTTAAAGGAACGCCCCTCTTCGTACATTTAGTGTTTTTGTTATTACTTCTATCTGATAGATCGCCTTTTGCAAAAAGCTGGCTCTCCAGGCAGTATGTCTCATTATAGCCAGCAGAACTCCAAATGATCCTTTTACTGTGCTGCATTTTAAAATCTGTGTGTAATTAAGTGTTTAAAAATCATTCTTCCAGTTTATGAAAAAAAAAAATAATAATAATAATAATAATTTTCAGTATTTAACTCACTGTTTGCTCTATTTCCTCCAATGTCTTCTGATGAGCACTTGCCCATCAGATCAAATACTGCAGTTGTATTTGATGTATCTGGAACTGTGAACACTGTATGAACTGTGTCACCTGCATTCCATGTTACATCAGACTTCAGTGACTCTGGAATAAAGTCTTCAATAGAAATTCATCAGCATGTGTCATTATTCAACAGTGAATTCACTAAATGCAAAGTCAGACAACTATTCTTTTTACTTATTCATATATGTATACATATAAAAACAATTGTTGTTTATGTAACAATATAATTATATAATTGTTTTCTAAACTGTTGCATACTGAAATAAAATGTGGTGATGTCAGGAAGTTTATTTGGAGTTTAAAAAGTCAAAATTGGTAAAATTTTATTACACTATTTATTACACTATTTATTTATTACACTATTACAGTGTTTTACACCTAATGCTCAATATCCCCTGTGTAACAGTCCCTCCCAGAACAACCTGTTATATGTGGGATATACCTTCCAGATCGTTACCATAGGCAGTACTGAAAGTATTTGCATGGGCTTAGTTGTATTCTCGTACTTGCAAAGCTGGACTTCTCAGTAAACATACAACACATCTATACCTTAAATATACATCACAGCAAAATAATGAGTTTTCACTTACAATAGCTGATGATTGAAGTCAAGTTGTGCAGTAACAGATCAAGCAAATAGCAAAGAAAACTGTGTTTGGGTTTGGAGTACACTACTGATCTGGAGCGTATACATGCTAACAGGTTTACATAGATTGCAACAATAGTTACTCATTTGTTTCTTGTTTTTACCAGAAGTAAATTTTACTAGTTCCACAGTAAGGAAACCACTTTACCTCTCTGGAACTTTTTCATAAACAGTCTTATGCTATTAACAATTCCCCAAGATGGGCTTGATGTTGTACACCTAATGTACAACATTAAAATTGTGTTGTAGCTGTGTTAGTATAAGTAGAACATTAATATTTGCAGTTTTGAAGGATGCTGTTGTCAAAACCTGGAGGAAGAGAATCTCTCTCGTATTTTAAGCTTAAATGAGTTCACAAGCTATTGAATGAATGTATACATACATCTCCATACATTTGTCACATGATTTTAAAATAAAACTGCAAACAGCTTTTTAAAATACAAGCTTTCCTCAAAAGACCATTACTACAACAAAATCCATTATGTTGTATTCTGTTAGGAAGACTTTTTAAAAAGAATGTGTAGGGGACCTTAAAACAGTGACAACACAACCAAGTACTTCCTATTATTATCTCCAGTAATATTATGAGAATGAAAGAGTATTGGAACAGGCAGCCCAGGGAGTTTGTGGAGTCTCCTTCTTTGGAGATACTCAAAACCTTTCTGGACACTTTCCTGTGTGACCTGCTGTGGGGAACCAGCTTTATCGGGGAGGAGGTTAGACTTGGTGATCTCAAGCTCCCTCCAATTCTATGCAACCGCTATGATTCTGTGCTTCATTTCTCAGGCTAATCTAAAATATACTCCTGGTAGAAGTATGAATACTGCATGAGATGTCTACCTTCTGAATTCTTTTAGCACATCTTCATGGTAAAACAACAGAGGTTAATATTAAGAAGGCTCTGCTTAGATTTATTAGAAGACATGAAGGAGCAGTAAACTCAGAGGAAAAATCCTCACAGAAAGCCAAGACATTTTGTGTGTCCACTGAATCATTCATTAGGGGACTGTTGAGAATCCAATCTGAAATGGATACAGGATTTAAAAAATGAAATGAGACTAAGCTCCTGGTCCTGTTCTACCTCAGTCATAAACATTGACTTCACTGTGAAACAATATTTCCTACAAAACCTCTTTGACAACATTTTTGGCACAAGTTAGTGTATTCACAAAAAAAAAAAAAAAAAAAAAAAAAAGTATTCATAAAAGTAATTCTATAGTTTTATCACACTGAATTGTGTGTGAATAACATGTGGGTATTTTTTTTTACTGCACAGCATTTTTGTATGGAAGTTTCAATTGGATATCCTACTACAGAATTCGTAGAATATGTATTTTAGGAGCCTGTGTATCTCTCCTGAGAGAGAGAATTCATATATGTCTTTATAGTGTGCTTATGCTTGAAAAATTCCAACTCTGAACTTAAAACATAAACAAGAGTCTGATAAATCTTTCTCATAAGCACTAACCTAATTAACAGTTGAATGCTTTCTGCTTTTTTATGCTTATTCTTCAGTACTTACAGCATATTTTTGTTAATGGTTATGCACATGTACTTATTCATTCACAGGCACAATGTTACACTTCTGAGCCGAGTACTTACACAAAATTTAGGTTAAATATCACTCATAACCATTCTTGTCAGAAAATGTTAAGGATTATTATAGATCAAATCTTATTCCCAAATGTGTACACCAAGAGTAGTCAGTAGCATTAAGCATAATTAAACTGTAGAAAACCAACCTGAGATCAAAGGTAACTGTGATCCCAATTGCTGTAATTTCTAGTCTAAATATGTTAAGTATGTGGTTATGCGTTCTAACTTTATCTGCCCAAATAAATGTTATTTTTCATGGAAGTGACTACAATACATTTTCCAGAAATTATACTGGCTGAAGTACACAATCAAACTAAACATAACACTTTTCTCCTCCATCATCTCAACATAAAACTTCCACTTCAGAAGCCAGACAACAAGAACTGAGTAGCAGTTGGAGGTAACACCAAGCATGCTGTTATGCAAAGTTAAAATTAGGAACTTTCTCTTAAGTTTAGTGCTTGGAATTTATTCAATTTTTGGATTATTATGCTGGCAAGTACAGAATATTAGTTTCACTTACTGGAGCATGCATGCTGGCAAGAATGGTGCATAGATTTACATTTTAAAAGTTTTAGGGAAATTGTCTCCCTTGGGGCTATACTTCATAACTGTTATTAATGCCATTGGAGGTTACACATGTGCGTAGAAGAGAAAGTATTCCCCTTAAGGTAGAACCAAGTAAAAAAAAAATCATAAAAGGTATGCTAATTATTTATAACTACAAAACAAAATACTTGAAATTATGGCAAATTAAAAGAGCATTTATTTACACACAAACAGGATTGTTTAAAACCACAGGTCTTGCCCGTAGCAGAGGAGTTAAGCCAAGTAAGTGACAAAGCATATTAACCTTATCATAGATTTCTCAGACACTTAATACCTATAAGGAGAGTCTGGTTTGTTCAGATTAAGGTTTTTTTGTGTGTGTTTTTTTCCTTTTATTTTAATATGTTCTGCAGATGGTAACTGTGTATTTGACAGACCCCACTTGCTGAAAATGTAACTTCTTAGAAGTTTCTTTTTTCAGAAATGCTTCAAGGAACACAATTTGAGCAGTGGATGTAGTCTACCTTGATTCCAGCAAGGCATTTGGCACTATCTCCCACAACATCCTTATAACGATGCTGAGGAAGCGTGGAATAGATGAATGGATGATGAGACGGGTTGAGAACTGGCTGACTGACAGAGCTCAGAGGGTTGTGATCAGTTGTTCAGGGTCCACTTGGAGGCCTATATTTAGTGGTGTTCCTCGGGGGTCAGTGCTGGGCCTGGTCTTGTCTTCAACATCTTCATCAGTGATCTTGATGAGGGAATGCTGTGCACTCTCTGCAAGTTTCCTCTTGATATCAAGCTGGAAGGAATGGCTGACGCATCAGAAGGCTGTGCTGCTTGCTATTCAATGAGACCTGGACAGATTGGAGAGTTGCACAGAGAGGAACCAGATGAGTTTTAACAAGAGCAAGTGCAGAGTCTTGCACCTAGGGAGGAATAACCACATGCACCAGTACAGGTTGGGGGATTACCTGCTGGAAAGGAGATCTGTGAAGAGGCACCTGGGGGTCCTAGTGAACAACAGGTGGTCCATGAGCCAGCAGTGTGCCCTGGTGGCCAGGAGGGCCAGTGGTATCGTGGGGTGCATTAAAAAAAAGCATGGCCAACCGGTCTATGGAGGTAATCCTCCTCCTTTACTCTGCCCTGGTGAGACCTCACTTGGAGTATTGTGCCCAGTTCTGGGCTTTCTGGTACAAAAAAGACAAGGATCTCCTGGAAAAAGTCCAGGAGGGCTACAAAGGTGATAAAGGGCCTGGAGCACCTCTCGTGTGAGGAAAGGCTGAGCAACCTGGATCCGTTCAGCCTTGGGAATTAAAGACCCAGAGGGGATCTGATATAATACAATAAGTATCTAAGATGTGGGAGGCAAAGGAATGAGGCCAGACTCTTTTCGGTGGTGCATGGTGATAGGCCAAGGGGAAATGGCTACA